GCAGACAAATCTCCAGGACCCGATGACGTGATTTCTAACAGACATGTAGCTAACAGATGATACCAGTTCTTCTCAAATTTTTCAGAAAATTGGAGGAGGGAATTCTCAATTCCCAAACTGCATCTGGGTTAGCCAGGGCCATCTCAGGCGGGTGTCCTGTGAGGAACGAGAGCAGGGCCTGCACAGCACCCGGGTCCTGCGGCCCTGCTAGGGTGGGCGGCTCTGCTCCCAACAACCCTGGTGGCTCCAGGCGATTTCCTCGTTTTGCCAGGAATATCTTTTGCTCGTGTGCACCAGTGGCTGGTACGTGGCTCAGGTCCTGCAGGTGCTGCTCAGTGACCTCAGTGCATGCACAGCACACTGCCGTGTAGCCCAGGTGCTCTGCCGGGCACTTGGGAGCCTGGTGCTGCGAACCTGTCTCTGCCCAGCCGCCTCTATCGTGGGGCTGTAGGGCTGCAGGTGTGGCACAGGTGCCTGTGGAGCAGACCCTCGCCTGTAGTGTGCATCAGAGGCCCCTCCTTTTTTGAGGAAAGCTTTACTTATATCAAAGTCAGACTCAGCCATTTCTAGGAAAATACAGACCAATATCCTTTATGAACATAGATGTAAAAGTGTTAATGTTTTAGTAAATTGAATTCAGTAGTACATAGCGTGGCCGCGTGATGTGTTTATGCCAGAAATCACAAGTTTGGTTTAACATTAGAAAAATCAGTCAATGTGAAAAAGAAAACTATATGATCATCTTAATAGATAAAGAGGGGAAAAATAATTTGGCAAACTCCAACATCCATCTCTGATAAAAACTGAGTAGTCTAAGAGTAAAAGATCTCTTCCTGTACCTGATAAAGGGCATCTCTGTTAGCCTATAGAGTCTACATTGTGCTTGATGGCAGCAGACTGAAACCTTTCCCCGAGTTCAGGCTCGAGGAAAAGATGTCTGCTCTCACGACTTCTCTCCAGCATTGTACAGGGTTAGTAAGTACAGTACAGCAATGCAAAGGAATACACGGCGTCTAGATGGAAAAGAGAATTAAAACTGTCTTTTTTGCAGAAAACATTGTTTATGCAGAGAATCTAATGGTATCTACAAAAAGCTACTGGAACTAATAAGTGAGGCTAGCAGTGTTGCAGGATAGAAGATCAGTAAGTAAAGGTTATGTGTATGTCCATGCATAGACATATACAAACCAGAAAGTGAAAGTTTAAAATACCACTTACAGTACCCTCTTCTCAGAACTGGATAACTAAGGGATAAATCTGCCCCCAAAATGTGAATGGCCTACAGACAGAAGACTAGACAATATTGCTGAGAGTCACGGAGCAGAAGACTCAGGATTGTTAATTTGGTGCTTATCCTCACGTCTATAGATTCAACACCTTCTCAATCAAGGTCTGTATAGAAATTCACAAGCCGAGTATAAAATGTGTACGGAGATGCACGTATCTAGGTATCTATTCTAGATACCTAGAATAGTCAAATGAACTTTGAAAATGAGGACACGGTTGGAGGACTTGCACTGCCTAAGTCTCATTTTAGAGCTGCAGCCATCAGCTTGGTATAGTGTAGGCATAAAGACAGAGCAGGGAATCCAGAAACTGGCTGGCAAACACTGACGAGTGTGGAAAAAGGAAACTGGACTTCTCACAATTTCTCGTGCACAGTTTACAAGAGTACACAGCCAGTTCACTGGAGAAAAGATGCTCTTTTCAATAAGTGGTTTTGGATAGTTGGATAGCCTATGGCAAGAAATGACTTAAATGCATACTTTACACCATAGCCAAACATTCATTCAAAATGAATTACGGTCATGAATGTAAAACCTAAAACCAAAAACTTCTAGAAGAAAACAGAAAATTTTTGTGACCTTAGATCAGAAAAGATTTTTCAATTGAATTCCAAAAGCGTGATTCATGAAAGAAAAACACCACTTGGACTTTATAAAAATTATGAACTTTTCTTTGAAAGACACTGAAGAGATTGAAACCCCAAGCTGGGAAACGATATTCACAGTCATATAATCAAGGTCTGATGCCAAAATATATAAAGAGCTGCTTTCAAAACTTAGTAAGAAAGCAAAAAGTTTGTTATCAGTAGTCACTGTTACAGACCAGTGACATTCATGTGTTAAAACTCCTTAAATGATTTGTTAATTCATAATGGGGGTGAGGTGGCAAACTTTCGTACAGGGCCAGGTGGTAACTATTTTAGGAGTTGCATATGATTCTTGGAGGTTTTTTTTTTGATTATTAACACAACGCTTTAAAATGTAAAACCTGTTCTCAGCTCGTAGGCCTTTGAAAAATGGGCTGTGCTTTGAACTTGGCCCAGTATGTGTGGTCACCTTCCAGCCTCCGAGTTAGAGCTGGGGAAGCCCTGCCCTCTGGCCTTGTACGGGAAGGAGGTAGGAAGTGGTGACATTTGAGTTCACGTCTGAGTGATTCTTCTTGATTGATTTAACAATTAACTGATGAGGAAGGTGTAGACTGAGAGATAGTTAATAAGCTGGAAAATGTTTAAGAATAAAAATGTATTTCCGTCATATCTGGTGACTTTCTGCAGTCCGTGTGACCGCCCCCGTGTCATTGAGTCTCTGAGAGGAATTGAAGTGGTCGACGTTGCTGCTGGCGGAGCTCACAGCGCCTGTGTCGCGGCCGCCGGGGACCTCTACACGTGGGGCAAAGGCCGCTACGGCCGCCTGGGGCACAGTGACAGCGAGGACCAGCTGAAGCCGAAGCTGGTGAGCAGGCGCCGCGTGCAGAGGCGGGAGGCCACACGCCCCCCACGGCTGTGTCGCGTGGGGGTGCTTTGCCACCTTTGTTATGATTTTAAAAGTCCAGAGCATTTTCTGTTCTAGATTTTTTTATGATGGTCATAGCCCAATTTACAAGTACATGTTCTTTCTGGTGAAAATAAAAACATCTTGGTACATATTTCTTCCCTGAGTCATTTGAAATATCCTTTTCTTTGTAATGATAAATACTGCTTGGCGTCTAGAAAAATGCTTTGGCTTCTAGAAGGTCCACTGTATTTTTGGGTACAGGAAGCGAATAAACAGCCTTCCTGGCGGTGTAGGGTTCGCGCATCAGACATTAATAGCTTCTTCTGCAGTTTAGATGCTCGTAGTTCAGATAGATGAAGGTATGTTTGCTTTTGTCTTATAAGATTTTAGAAATCGCCTCTTTGTAAAGGCTTTAGACAGGTACTCCCGTAAAGGAAGGATGGCGGCGCTGGGAAGCTCCTCCGGTGGCGAGCCTTCTCGTGCCGTGCTCGGCCAACCCGGGTCCTTTTCCCTGCAGGTGGAGGCGCTGCAGGGGCACCGTGTAGTCGACATTGCGTGTGGCAGCGGAGACGCCCAGACTCTCTGCCTCACAGATGACGACACCGTCTGGTCCTGGGGGGATGGTGACTATGGCAAGCTGGGTCGCGGAGGCAGCGACGGCTGTAAAGTGCCCACGAAGGTAACGCCATGCTCTCCCAGCTCACCCCAGTCGGGGGTCCCTGGGGGCCCTCGGGAAAACACAGCCTCAGCGCCACCAACCTCCTCTGTACCTTCTTTCCGGTAACTGTAAGGGGTGATTGGCTAAAAGGTGTGTGTGCTATGTGCTGTGTGTGCTCCTGAGAAGTGGACGGGGTCAGCGGGGCCCGTGGAGCCTGCCGGTTTGTTTAGCATGTAGGCCTGTCTCAGAGGATATCACTGGCTCTCACACTTTCTGTTTGCAGTGGTGCTGAGTTGCCACGGCCCGTGCTTCGGGGCTGCCAGTGCTTGCTAAAGGGACTGCGTCTGGGTTAGCCAGGGCCATCTCAGGCGGGTGTCCTGTGAGGAGCGAGAGCAGGGCCTACACAGCACCCGGGTCCTGCGGCCCTGCTGGGGTGGGTGGCTCCGCTCTGAAGAAGCCTGGTGGCTCCAGGCGATTTCTTCATTTCACCAGAATATCTTTTGCTCGTGTGCACCGGTGGCTGGTACGTGGCTCAGGTCCTGCAGGTGCTGCTCAGTGACCTCAGTGCATGCACAGCACACTGCCGTGTAGCCCAGGTGCTCTGCCGGGCACTTGGGAGCCTGGTGCTGCGAACCTGTCTCTGCCCGGCCGCCTCTGTCGTGGGGCTGTGGGGCTGCAGGTGTGGCACAGGTGCCTGTGGAGCAGACCCTCACCTGTAGCGTGCATCAGAGGCCCCTCCTTGTGGGGAAGAGCCTGGGCTTTGCACTTGTAAGGGTGAGGATGCTGGGCATGGGAGGGGCTGGAGCAGGACGTCCCGATGCCAATGTGTTAGGGTTGGACACCAGGGAGAGTTCATTAAAATAATGAGGTCAGTTTTAATTGATTTGAGTTCAGAATTGAATATGAGAACTTACATATGAGAGCAATCACAGAGGTCATGAGGAGCATGAGGAAAAGTGTTGCCTTGCAGTGTGCATTGTTGAGGGTAGTGGGTCCTGGGTGGTGGGTGGAGCCCAGTGCTCTTGACCATCCCTCGCCTTGCCTGCTGCTCCTCCCCCGCCCCGCGGGCCTTGGGTCTGAGAGGGCTGGGAAAGGCGAGGAGAGACACAGGGGTTGGTGGGGTACTTTGCTGCTGCACAGAGAAGCAAGGTTCGCAGAGGCCATTCTGGGGAGAGAGGCTTGCAGGCCTCAAGCAGAGCTCCCATTTCTGGTGCAATGTGCTGCGTCCCACTGTGCCAGCATCTTGCTGTCAGTCCAGTCCCACCTGCCTCCTGGGAGTGCTGAGATGAAGTGCAATATGATTTAAGTTGCACTAATTATTCCACATGGGTACAAGTTTTCAGAATTCCTATTAGTTTAGTTAAATAACAATGTGGATATAGCAATCAGCAGGGGCCTCGATGCTGTCTGTCTAATTGAACTTTTTCCCCTTCTAGATTGACTCTCTTACAGGCCTTGGAGTAGTTAAAGTGGAATGCGGATCCCAGTTTTCTGTTGCCCTTACCAAATCTGGAGCCGTTTATACCTGGTAGGCAAGATTCTGTTTGTTTAAACCCACCAAAACTAGATTTTAATTGGGGTGTGTGCACCGGCTTTTCATGGATGGGAATGTCGCTTCTGCGCAGGCTGTGGTTGTGTCCTGAAGAGCAGAGCCTGCCCAGGAGGCTGGGCAGGGTGGTCAGTGATGGCCTTGCCCCATAATTTCCGTGCTTCCTTTGTGTGCAGGGGCAAAGGCGATTATCATAGGCTGGGCCATGGATCGGATGACCATGTTCGAAGGCCTCGGCAGGTCCAAGGGCTGCAGGGGAAGAAAGTCATCGCCATTGCCACCGGCTCCCTGCACTGTGTGTGCTGCACAGAGGACGGTAGGTGGGAGCTTGGCACTGCACGACTGAGCCCTGCGAACCTCAGGGGGTGCTTGGGGCTGGATCACATGCACAGCCTTAAAAGGAGGCAGAGGTGGCCAGGCGCGGTGGCACACACCTGTGATCCCAGCACTTTGGGAGGCCGAGGCGGGCGGATCACCTGAGGTTGGGAGTTCGAGACCAGCTGACCAACGTGGAGAAACCCGTCTCTACTAAAAATACAAAATTAGCTGGGTGTGTGATGGTGCATTCCTGTAATCCCAGCTACTCGGGAGGCTAAGGCAGGAGAATCTCTTGAACCTGGGAGGCGGACGTTGCTGTGAGCTGAGGTCGCACCGTCCATTGCACTCCAGCCTGGGCAGTGAGAGTGAAACTCCATCTTTAAAAAAAAAATGGAGGCAAAGGCTGGGCTGATACCGTGTCCTGAGAGTCTGCCTGCAGTCAGCAGGGCTTTGGCCCTGTCGTCTTCAGCCCCTGCTGTTGCACCTGTGAATGAGTTCTATTTACTACTGCGCCGTGCAGAGCAGAGCCGGCAGCCGGCCCGAGTCATAGCGTTAGACCTGCTGCCGGCCTGGCCGTCTGCTGGTGTCGGGAAACCTGGGTTTTGGGAGGGCTCCCCTTTCCTAGGTGGTGAGTGTGGTTCACTGTGCCTGAACTGGCTGTACAAACAACATGCTCTGCTAAAACCTGCTTTCCTTGGTCTGGAACTTGGTACGCGCCAGGCAGGGGGTGCCCATGTGATCAGTCCTGATGGAAACCCTGAGCCTGGAGTCTCTACCCCGCTTCCCAGAAGACAGCCCTTGACACAGCTCAGTGCCAGGGGAGTGAAGCTCGTCCTGTGGCTCCTGTGGAAGAGAACTCTGGAAGCTGGCGCCTGGTTACCTCCACACCACATCGCCCCAGGTCCCCATCCCTGTGCTGGTCTTGCTGTGTGTCCTCTTGCTGTAATACACTAATTTTGAGCAGGGGTGTGTGCTGAGTCTTGTGAGTTGTGCTGGAGAATCATGAGCATCGGGGCTGTCTGGGGAACCCGCACACAAGGGCGAAGGACTTTTCAGGTCAAATGAAGTTTGTGAATCAGCTGACTTGACGATATGGAGATTATTCTGGATTATTGAGTGGGCCCAGTGTAATCACACTGACCATTTGATGAGAAAAGAAGGCAGAAGTGTTCGTCAGAGATGGGACTGCAGAGGTAGTAGAAAGATTTTCCAACTCCAAGAGCTCTCTACCCTCCGTGGCTGGCTTTCATGGAGGAACAAGGCCAGGGAATGGGGTGGCCCCTGGAAACGGGGACTAGCTCAGCCTGCAAGGAAGCTGGACCTCAGTCCCACAGAGAACTGAGCTGTGTCTGAATGAGCAAGGAAACTCTCCCCTGGGGCCTCTGGGAAGTAAGACCCATGCAGGACTTCTGACCTGCGGAGCTGAAGCATCCTAAGTACATGTTGTTTAAGCCAGTGGGGCGGTGGGGATGTGTATGGCAGCAGTGGACCAGGGCGCCATCTTTCATTAACATGCCTTCCCACAAGTTGTGCTCCTTGTTAAAGGCTTTGGTGAATTATATGAACGTGTACCCTTTAATCGTGTCATCGTTGGAAGAGGCTTATGTAGGAATGAGCAACTGCTGTGGCCTGTAGTGGAAGGACATTGTCGTTCTTGATGCAGAGCTTTTTATTTGATTTATTTAATTGTTTTAAATTTTGAGACAAATCCCAGTTGGAAGCAAAGCAGTTGGAAGTGTATTACATGGAACTTCCTTACTCCAGTCCACGTGAGCATGACTGTTGTTGCGCGGCTGCACCGAGCGTCCAGTGTGTTTCCCACAGACGGCCACTCCGCGGCGCACTGCCGAGCACGCAGCTGGCGAGCTGTGCCCTCTGTCCCATGACACTCAGCGGCTGGCGTCATCGTTTCACGCCCCTGTCTCCTTGCAGCTGGACAGCTATTGTTTTGTGGCGCTGTTGTATTCGGGCTTTTCTGGTGTTTTGCAGTAGACTCGGGTTGTGTGACCCTGACCGTCGCAGGTCGTCCGTGCAGGTGACATGCAGTGTGTCTCCTTGCTCACTCTGTCGTTTGGTCACCTTGCTGTCTGCCATGCTTTTCACTGTGCACGTTCTTTGTAATTAACAAATATTTAGTAGAGACATGCTGAATCTGTTTAAGAATTTCTTTCTCATGCAGCCTTGAACCTGTTGATGTATTTGTTTTATCTGAATGGGAATCATGGGTCCTAATGTATTCATTGGGATAGAGAGTCTTTCGCTGTTGATTTCGATGCTCAAGTGGTGCTGTTTGGCCGGCTCTGCCCCCTTCTCGTGTGCCCCGTTGTCTGGGAGCACTTCCTTGCTCTGGCAGAAGGTGATCAGCTTCCCCTTGTTCCTGCCATGCGCCATGCCTCCACCTGGCCATTCCTCCAGGGATCCCTGGCGTCTGTGGAGGAGAATGACCTTGAGAAGACGAGGTGTGCTCGCTGCTGTTGAGGCGCCACCGCTCCCCAGGCATCCTGTGTAAACAGTACCCCGGTTTATGTGTGATGTTTCCTCCTGGATCTGCATGTGTGTTGAAAACCATGAGTTCCCACCAGTATCCCCAGTTCCAGTTTGGTACCACAGGGTTCATTCTAGTTTCCCTCAGCAACCTTGCAGCTCCTTTTTCTTCTGGCGATTTGGCCACTCCCCCCTTGCGCACCCAGCATCCCATCCTTGCTTGCTCCTCCCCTCACACGTGGGGGTCTTGGCTAACCCCCTCGGAGCCAGCGCCTGGTGGAAGCCCCCCTCACTCTCGCGGACACATTCCGTCTGCCCGGCTGCGTGTGTGCAGAGAGGTCCTCTTCACCCTGTGCATGTGACACCCGCCTCGTGGCTTTAGGACCCACCTGTGCAGAGCAGGCAGGGGCAGGGCAGGGGCACTACCCTTGACCATGCAGGCGTCACACTTTACAGAGGAGCGCCCACTGGTGTCTCCAGGTGACAGGAACCTCGTTTCCCGTGTAGTCACCAGGGACCTTGCCTGAGAATGTTTTCCGGTGGTATTTCCTGGTCAAGGTCCCACACGGTGCACTGAAAGTGTGCTGATGCTTGTGAATGGTGAATCTTACGTTGAGGATATGAACAGAAACTGCATCTTCTTTTTTGATGTTACTTTAAAATTTTTATGAACAGGTCTTTGGGGAACAGGTGGTTACATGAGTAAGTTCTTCAGTGATTTCTGAGATTTTGGTGCACCCATCGCCCAAGCAGTGTGCACTGGACCCGCTGTGCAGCCTTTTTCCCCGTCCCGAGTCTCCAAAGTTCACTGTGTCATTCTCACGCCATTGCACCCTCATTGCATGAGAACACACTGTTTGGTTTTCCATTCCTGAGTTACTTTACTTAGAATAATGGTCTCCAGACCCATCCAGGTTGCTGTGAATTTCATCATTTCATTCCCTTTTATGGCTGTGTAGTATTCCATGATCTATAATACCACATTTTCTTTATCCACTTATTGACTGATGGGCTTTTGGGCTGGTTCCGTATTTGTGCAGTTGCTAATCGTGCTGCTGTAAACATGCGTGTGCAAGTATCTTTTTCAAATAATGACTTCTTTTCCTGTGGTTGGATACCTCTTGGTGGGACTGCTGCATCAAATGGCTGGTAGATCTGCTCTCAGCTCTCTGAGGAATCTCCACACTGTTCTCTGTAGTGGAGCATGGAAGATGCCTCCCATCACAGAGCATTTTCACAGATAGCTTGGTTTTAATTTGTATCACGGGGTATTCGGTTTTTCCCTCAGCTGGGGAAAAATCTCAGTGGGTCCGGTTTCCATTCCCACCAGCAATGAAACTGTTCCCTTTTCATCACATCCATGCCAACATCTATTATTTTTTGATTTTTTTTTTATTATGGCCATTGTGGTTTTGATTTTGAAAACATGGATTTTGTTTATCTAATCCGTTTGCCCAGCGCACTGGCTCATGCCCTAATCCCAACACTTTGGGAGATGAGGTGGGAGGATCACTTGAGCTGGGGAGGTTGAGGCTGCAGTGAACCATGATCATGCCAGTTTACTCCAGCCTGGGGAACAGAGCGAGCACCTGTCTTAAAAAATAAAATAGATAAAATAGACTTTTGCTCTTCTGTTTCACAGGCAAGAGCATTTTGGGATGTTAGGGATATTGCTGTGTGTCCCAATACTGTTCTGGTGGAGGACTGCCGCAGCATGCCCAGTCCTGAGAACTCGCACGGTTGGGGGCTTAAGACCCGACTCCTGTGCTTCTCATAAAGAGGCCTGGTGGCCAGCAGGGGCTGTGGGAGTGCTGGGAAGCACCTGCCTCTTTGGATGTGTGATTAGCCTGTACTTATGTCTAGGTCGTACGTAAAGCTGGCACTCAGAGGGGTGACTGTCAGCACCCAGCCGAAGGGCAGGGAGCAGTGATACTGTGTGTGTTGGGGAGACATTGGCAGCTGCGCATTTGTTGGCCCTTGTACAGGCTCTGATTCTAAATGCACTTCATTCAGGTGAGGTTTATACGTGGGGCGACAATGACGAGGGACAGCTGGGAGACGGAACCACCAATGCCATCCAGAGGCCTCGGTTGGTCGCTGCCCTTCAGGGAAAGAAGGTCAACCGTGTGGCCTGTGGCTCAGCGCATACCCTCGCCTGGTCGACCAGCAAGCCCACTAGCGCTGGCAAGCTCCCCGCACAGGTCAGTCGGCAGGCGGGGTGGGTTGGGGCGAGCAAACTGTGCTCCTGCCACATGCTGCATCCTGTTGTGACGTGTTTACAGAGGTTTCTTGGTGAAAATAATTCAGGCCCAATAAATGTTAACCAAATGGTGCTTTTAGGAACTGTGATATTTGGCTGGTTGTAGTGGCTCACGCCTGTAATCCCAGCACTTTAGGAGGCTGAGGTAGGCGGATCGCTTGAGCTCAGGAGTTCAGGACCAGCCTGGACAACATAGTGAAACTCTTTGTCTACAGAATTAGCCGGGCGTAGTCGTGTGCACCTGTAATCCCAGCTACTCGGGCAGCTGAGGGCTGAGGTGGGAGGATCGCTTGAGTCCCAAAGGTCAAAGCTGCAGTGATTGTACCACTGCCCTCTGGACTGGGTGACAGAGTGAGACCCTGTCTCAGAAGAAAAACAACATTAATATTTATACCAGCCAACACTGTGTGTGTACAGTGTGTATGACCTTCTGTTCTGCATCTTATAAACTACACAGAATTGTTTTGATAGTGCATGCCTCACATTTCTTAGTCAGCATATTTGGGTATATATATTTTTACAGTCAGACCGGCCAGAACAGTATTTTAAAAAGCAGCACAGAGAGGTTTTGCAAACCAAACTCAGAAACCACAGTGCTTCTCTGTTTGAAACAGTTGCCACGCTGTGGCCACCGTGCCTTTGGTGCCCACGGCTGAAGGCCATGTCCATGTTGCAGGTCCCCATGGAGTGCAATCACCTGCAGGAGATCCCCATCACCGCGCTGAGGAACCGCCTGCTGCTGCTGCACCACATCTCGGAGCTCTTCTGCCCCTGCATCCCCATGTTCGACCTGGAGGGCTGGCTGGACGAGACTGGACTGGGGCCTTCCGTGGGGTTTGACGCCCTCCGAGGAATCCTCATATCCCAGGGGAAGGTATTCCAGTGGTAGTCGTGGCTCTAGGGGAAACTGGTACTTCCTGGACTGGGAATGTGACAGCAAATACAGCTTGTTCTGAAGCAGATGTTGACGGGTGCTTCCTGCTGCCAGGCTCTGTTCTGGGCACTTTATATCAATGAGAAAACAGACAAAACCAACAGAGAGGGTGGTGCCGCATCTCTCCTTCATACTCTGTGCCTCTTGCCTCTGCAGAAGGATGAGGTGGGGCCTTCCTACACTACGCCTTTGTTCCTGTGGTCGTTCTCTGCCTGCCTGGCTTTGTGGCGTATGGCAAGTCCCCACTGACACAGGAAGAAGGTGACCAGGCAGTTTCCCCTGGGATGTCCAGCAGAGCAGTCCGAGAGTCACAGATAGCTTACCTCTAAGTCCCTGCCTGAATATGGTAGAGATTGCTGGCCAAATGAGAGTTGGCAGGTGGTGGGTAACACAGTCGTGAGTGAGGGCATCTGAAAGTCATCAGACTTCTGGACTTGTAGATGTTTGTAATAATTGGAGCTTTGTAGAAATTGGGTTAGTTTCTGGCAAGCAGCTTGGCAAGATGAGCTCGAAGGGGCTAATTATCATACAGTGGGGGCATCTCTATAAGGAAAAGGTGTAGAATTGGATTGAGGAATGCTAATCCTGATAGTGATTCTATTCTGTATCTTGTGGTCCGTTTTTAGTGATTTAATAAGATTTGGATGTTTTGGAGTCCTGTCTCAGCAGGTTACTTTTTAAGGACTGGCTTTGTTTCACTTGGCCATAGTCATGTCTGCTGAACAGGACTGACGTGTTCATTTTACTTTCACGTGTGCCTGAGGGTGGAATAGGTGAGGCTTGGGTTTAATGGAAAGATCATCTCTGATGAGAGAGGCAGGAAGAAATCGTGGGCAGGTAAAATGGGTAGGAAACGTAATTTCAATACTTTTCAATAATCAAGAGTAGCAAACTTGATTAATTTTACCTTCATTTCTTTTAATCCTTCAAAGTAGAGGTGATAATAAGCAGTGAAGAGGAAAAAAGCCTTTCTTTGTAGGGAGGAAAAAAAAGTGAGAGGCAGGGCATGTCGTACGTGGGCCTGTGCGAGCACCGCGCAGGCCGTGAGCGGGGCGTGTGTGGTGGGGGGCAGGGGCAGCAGCAGCGGAGTGCTGAGGGCATCCGAAAGGTGCCTCTGCTCAGGGAATGTGCAGGCAGCCTCAGTTCTGGTCTTGGGTGTGGTGAGGATTGGCCGCAGAGAGTGGGTGTTACTATTCCTGATCCAGAGCACTGAAAAGGACTCTCCAGCAAGGTGGGCGGGCTGGTGACTGGGAGGAGAGGGGAGTCCCTCTGGGATGGGGAGCTGCCCTGGGGTCCAGGCAGGGCCCTCAGGAGCAGGATGAGCTGGGCTGTGCAAGAGGCATGGGGCTGGGGTGCCTCCAGGATGCCCTTTCTGGGTCTCCTCTGGCGCGTGGGGCCCTCACCTCCTGCCTTCAGGATTTGGAGTTCTTAGACTGACCTGGGCAGGGACTCAGCCTCCTCTGAGGGATGCTTGTGCTCCCACAGCCCACCCCTAACAGAAAGAAGACACGACTGCCCACTTGGCCAAGAGAGCTGAGACCCCTGTTGGCCCTCTCTCCTCGCCTTCCAATTGGCACAGCTGCGCCCTGCATCCCCTGCCCTTTCCCTGTGGGCATGGCTGACCTGCCCCTCCTGGGGAATGGCTGGTTCTCCCTGTGGCGTTTGTCGGGCTGCACCCTGCTGTCTTTCACCCCAGGCACTCCTGGTTTCTTTTGCTGTGATCACAGCCAGGACCTTGTTCCCCTCCCTGGTCTGTCTTTTTCTGTCCCGACCCGAGGTCTGGCTGGATCCACGGGGCTCCCTGGCCCAGTGGCGGCTGCGTGCAGTCAGTCATTCAACGTCAGTCCCTGCGCTGGTGGACTTGAGGTTTGGCAGGGAGACCTTGACTGCGGGACCTGAGTCAGAGCAGGTACTTGCCAGGCTCCAGCCCTCCTCCCTGTTCTCGGCTTCCTGAGGGACTGTCCCTGTGCGCTTCAGTGCCAGCTTGCTCCCTCACAACTTCAGAAAGGGAACCGGCCGTTTTCTGTTCTTGAGAACGTCGTCTTCAAAACAGACTTTAAACAGAACTGCAGCATGATTCCCCCAGAGTGATGTTTTCCATATCAGAGTCTAAATTTTGTCTGTTTGATGTGTTTTAGGAGGCGGCTTTCCGAAAAGTAGTGCAAGCCACCATGGTGCGAGATCGTCAGCACGGCCCCGTCGTGGAGTTGAACCGCATCCAGGTAGGGAATGGAGATGGCGTCCAGTCTCACCGCCTCAGAAGGGGTGCTTTCCTGGGTACCTTGGCTGGGACGGTGCCATCTCGTGCATCCCAACTTTAAAGGGCAGGTGCCACCTTCGTTTTTGCGGGCTTCCTGTATGTGACATGCTGGGGCTTCCAGGTGTGTGCACGTATTTCTCTATACAGAAGTAATAAAGATTTATCTCAGATAGTCCAAAAGCACAAACACAGCTCAGTAAGATGGGAAGATAAAGTCAGCCCTCTTCCCACTGCATGGCGATGCCACTGCTGTGACACTGGGAGGCATGTGTGTGTGTCTGCCGTGACACTGGGAGGCGTGTGTGTGTGTGTCTGTGTGTGTGTGCTGTGACACTGGGAGGCGTGTGTGTGTGTGTGTGTGCTGTGACACTGGGAGGTGTGTGTGTGTCTGACACTGGGAGGCGTGTGTGTGTGTGTGTGTGTGTGTGTGCCGTGGCACTGGGAGGCGTGTGTGTGTGTGTGTCTGCTGTCACACTGGG